CGGGGCCCCGCGTGGCAGGGGTGCCCCCAGCCGTGGTCTCCTGGCAGCCTCCGCAAGCAAGTGCCCAGGAGGACCGGTCCCGACTTGCAAAGTTCCTGCAACGCCCTGCTCGAGTGAGCAACCCAGTCATTGAAACCTCAGCCCTGGCTTCCTGTCACTTGCAGGAAGCCACTCCTGCCACTGTCCACCCTCTTCGTCACCACACAAACTGTAATTAGACCCAACGAGGCACACTAACAGGGTGGACTGCACGCAGCCTGCTGCCAGCAACCCGATGGGAGCCGGCCAGGCTCAGAGACAGCTTCTCACCACAGAAACACAGGAGCATTGTGTGCCACGCACTGCAGGGGCACTGCCTGCCACGCACGGCGGGGACACAGGCATTGCACGCGTCTGCCAGCTCTGCAGAAACAGGAGCATCAAAACGGGGGCAGGGGCTCTGTCTGCTCTGCAGGGATGCAGGGCTGCCACCCAGCCAGCACTGCAGGGACACTGCCAGGATAGAGAGCTACCTCCCATTCATCGTTGCAGGGATTCAGGGCACTGCGTGCACTGTAGGAATACCACCCATCCATCACTGCAGGGACACAGGGCACTGCCACGGCAGGGACAGAGCAGCACTGCCCTCCCTGCACTGCCAACACAGCAGCACTGCCAGCCTCGCACCTGCGAGATACGAAGGCACCACCCATCCGGCACTGCAGGGATGCAGGAGCCCCATGCATCACCCACCCCGCACTGCATGCGGGGCACTGCCGTCCCTCTGCACCCCTCGCAGAAAGAGGGGCACTGCCCACCCCTGTATTAGAGGGACACAGCCTCACTGCCCCCCCTGCGCTGCAGCGCAGACATACGCCACAGGGCAGACCGCATGCCTTCCTGCGGAGCAGCGGCACTGCACAGCCCCAGCACACTGCAATGGTAGGCACAGCATCTCCCCTCTGCTGCACAGTCACTAGGCAACCCCACACCCTGCGCCAGCAAATACTGTTCCCTTCGCTCACTGCAGACACACTGTTCCTTCCCATTCCCTCCCACTCCAGGCTGGGACACTGCACGCACGCACTGGGTGCCCACCCTGCCCTGCAGGGACAGCCCCGCGCTGCTCGCCCGGTGCCAATGTCCACCCCACCCGCCACAGAGGCAGTGACAGAAGTTCTGCCCCCCTGCATTGCAGAGACACACACTGCACACGCTGCACCGCAGGCACCCAGCCACTGGAAACCTCCTCCCAGTATGCACACACTGCAGAGGCAGTGCCAGGCGGACCGCCAGCCCCACAGAGACTGTCCCCTTCTGCGCCAAGCCATATGCCCTGCCATCAAGCCTCTGCCTAGTGCTGTGCCTGGCCACCAGCTTTCCCGTCTCCTGCTTTCCATTCTGGGAACACACCTTCCTCCAGGGTCCAGGTGCACCCATGCAGCTTCTGCTGAGCCGTGAGTGTGAAGGGGTGCAGACCAGCTCACCGGCACCCAGAAAGCCCGGTGGTTGGATGCCCTAAAATCAACAGCCACAAGCGTCTGCCATGGCCCTACAGCAGCAACCCTCTCTTGCCACTCCCATTGCTCGCTCTCCCCATACTCTGCACCCAACCTGTGGGATGGGTGAGTGCGCCTCCACCATCTCCCCTCCGTGGTGCCACATAGCAAATGCCTAATTCCTGGTTACCCCCGACATCGTAGAGATCCTCAACAAGCGGAGCATCCTGCACTGTCCACCCTGGTACTTCCCGCATGCCAGCAGCTCCCAGTCCCTCCACCCCTCCGCTTCCCCATGGACAAGTGCCTCACTGGAAGAGAGGAGCTCTCCCTCCGCAGGTGAAAATACGTCTCTGTTTCTGGAGACGAAACTATGGTCCTGAAGCCTAGCTTGACTACTCCCTTGTCCTGCAAGCATCCTTCATGCAAAGAAGAGGTATTTCCACCTTGCTGAGGGCATAACTTTCCAGACCGGCGCTGTGTGCAGATACCTCTGAGATGTATGTCCCCAGGAGGAAGGGAAGAGGCAAACAAGCCTTCTTCCACCCCTGCACAGGGCTGAGGATGGAGGAGGTGAGAAGCTGAGCAGAAACACAAGGCATCTCTGCATCAATACAGGCAAAACCCAGCAATGCATGTCTGCACACACACGTGTGTCTGCACTGAGTGTGTACATATCCCTGCGTGCACTGAGCATTTGGGTGCATGTGCACCTGCCCAGAGCACGACTCTGTGTCTGTAGGAAAAAGCATACATGTGCACACGTGTGCACTAAGGAGGGTGTGCAGGTGTGCCACACGTGTGCACACACTGTGAGGAGCACAATCGTGCCTGCTCCGGAAGAGCC